CCCCCCCCCCCCCCCCCCCGAAGCAAAGCACCGGGCTCATCACAGCAGGGAGTGACAGTAGAGTCAGAGCCCACAGGTGGATGCTGGGATTGAGCTGAGGGGCCTGAACTAGCTGCTGATTGGCTACACACAGTCAGAAGAGCAGGAGTTCAGGACTGAATATGATGTCCTGCTCTGTGCTGGCTGAGTATCTGTTTCCCTTCCTGTTTGTCACTGTGTAGTCTTCTTGTTCCTGCCATTTTATCTCATCTGCCTTTATTTTTTTCTCTGTCCTCACACACCATCCGCTGCTGCTCTCATCACTCTTTCCTCTCCGTTTCCACTCTTCCTTTTCTCCTCTCTGTCTGTTAATAAACCTCCCAGCGTCGCTCTCTAACCTTACCGCAGGAAGTTTCCTGTGCTGAAACGGAGCCCACGCTGGATTGCTTCCTGCCAAAGTGTGTTGTGGGACACGTTTGTTTGGGCCCCCTTCTTCCTCCTTCTCCTCCGCCTCCTCCTCCTCCTCCCTTCTGCTCCCCTTGTTGCTTCCTCCTCTGGGCTCTGTGCAGATGGCTGAGGCCGGCAGACCGGATCTCGGAGGGGTTTTGGCAGAGCAGCACCTCTCTCCGGCCCTGGAGAGAGCATACCGCAGCCATGACCTCGTGACCCAGGCTGCACTGCTGCCCGCCCCGGCCTAGCTGCTCTCACAAGTCAGCCACGAGAGACGAACATACAGCTGCTGCATGCAGTGCAGATGGCAGCTTGATTCAATATTGATAAAAAAGTCAGTGAGGTAGTCAGTTAGTGTTCCATTGCATCTAGATCTATTCCTGTCATGTAGTCCAGTTAAATTTGTAGCTGCAAAAGAGAAAATTTATGTAAAAACCCATATTTTAGCAAATCACTGGTTTTCAGGTCGTGTTATGAAGCTTTCTCTTATGGTTTAAGTTACCTGCTTTAGACATGAGGGTGGGAAACAGGGACTGAAAACAAACAGGCACATTTACATGCATTATATTACACATACTAGAAGCTCCACATAATGTAGCCTAGCCATGATTGCTACTGTGTTTGTGTGCCAAGAAACAAGGGAAAACCCAGAGAGTAAATGTGAAGAAATATGGTTCCTTATCTGCCCACCATTAGTTCCTGTGGTTGTGAAACACCTGTATCCCATTCCTTGACACTTTCTTAAGATGTCTGTTGACAGGCTGAGGGTCAGAGCTTGACAGGCTGTAAGCTGTGCTTCGGATAACCTAGGCCTTCCCGGATATATCGGCTGCGCTCATGCCCCTATCTGAATATAGAGGACTAGAAGGGAAGGGAAGAAATGGGAAGCTGACAATCTAGACAGGGTTTCATTTTATATTGATTGCGCTTGGTGAAAACTTCCTTTGTTTGACGGACGGACGGGGGTTTGGAGGGAGGCCTGAAAGCGAGCACAAGGTTCCTATTACTTGTGTGACAGTGACATTGGCGGCCAAAGATAACAGCTGTCTGACTCCCAGAGGAAGTGTTTGAGTCTGGGCGATAAGTGAGATGTTAGAAATGAGTAGTTATGCTCCGTGTGGGTGTCATGGATGTTCTGATCAGAGCTGTACACTGCTGAAAGTCTGTTTTTTGTGTCTGTGCATGTGAAAAAGAGAATGAGACAAAAAAAAAAAAACTGAGGGGGTGAGTCTGAGTCATCCTGAAAATCATTGGGTTACACAGAGTGCGAGATGATACGATGAGGTGGCAAGATCCGTGTTAACCAAGATAAATAGGGGTCAAAATGTTTATGTGCAATGTAAAAAATATACTTCCTGTTGTGTCAGACAATATCAGGAATATCAGAGTTTAAGAATTAATCAAAGTGGTTGAAATAAACCTTGGTGAATAGAATATAGAATAGAAATGTGGTCTTACCAGAGCTCATCTGGTATGACCACATTTGATTAAAACGCTAAATAAATGACAATTGGTAGTCTATATATAATCTATATATGTATATATATGTCTATATATGTAATCGCGTGTGTGTGTGTGTATGCATATATATATATATATATATATATATACACTGTACCTTATTTCGCTAATTTTATTTTAGCTAATTGGGCCAGCCTGTTTCACCTGATGTTTTCTCAATGGAAATGTTTTTTTAAAATCAGCAACAAGTTTATAGAAGTGAAGGTGTCTTTTGAGACTTTAACCTCTGGTTGCAAAAAATGGACTGAATTTGTAACTCTGAAGAACATTTAGCAGCATTTTTCTGAAGCCAAAATATATTTATTGGCCTGTAATCATGTACTTCCACATTAACTTGAGCTGCTCAGGTCAAACAAGCCATAGGTGTAACACTGCATTCTTGCTAAGCTAATTAGTTTTCTGCTGGACATGTAAAAATAATTAAAGAAAATGCAAAACAGTTTATGCTAATTTTTGCAATTCAGCTAGCTAGCTTCTGCAGCAGTGTTAGCAAGTGCAAAAAACAAATAATTCAACAAAGATTATTATTAAAAATAATTACTGACAATGTATTTCTGTGAAAAAAGTGGCTGCAAGTCACTTCAATACACTCTGAGTGGGTTGTAGCATTAGCAGTAGCAGTAGCACTCAACTGCAGTGGTTGCCATGGGGTCAAATTAGCCATACAATAGTGTGGTTTTCTAGGTTCATTCAAGTGAGACTGAAGGTTTAGCTGAGATTGTTTTCACAGTGGTGTCTGCTCACTCACTGTTGTCTCTAAATGCCTGTTGGTCGCCAGTGCAGATGTTTTACACTCCTGTTCCCACGGCACTGAGAGAAACGTAGCAGGGAGGAAAAACAGATACTGTCATTCCTGTTTCCTTCGCTCTTTTCCCTCCATGTGTCATCCTTCATTTATACACAAACTAATAAACTGTCCGGCCTCTGATGTGCCTGTCAGAGGGCGAAAGAGCAGAGCAGATCAGAGCAGATCAAATAAAATAACAGTCTGACCGTCTTTCTCATATACCCCCCCGTTCCTCTTTTATCCTTGTGATTCATCCTTTATTCTTCCCCTCAACCTATCATCTTCTAATCTTTTATTCTCACCTCCTCTCCCGTTCTGACTCTGCCTCCTCCTTCATCTTTTTTTCTTTATCTCTGCCACCGTTCCCGTAATCACTCCCTCCTTTTGGCTTTTATCTCCACTTCCTCAATATCCTTTTTACTGCCTCTGCCTCCTTCCTTCCTCTCTCCCCCCTTCCCCTCCTCCTTTCCTCCCTACCCCTCCCTCCCCTTCGCCCCCCCCTTCCTGCCTTTCCTTCTTTCTTCCTTCCTCGCCCCCAACCCCCTGTCCTTCTGCTTTTTCTTCACTGAGCTCATCCTTCTTTGCCTCCCTCTTTTCTCCTCCACCTCCGTGGTTTTTTTTCTTTTGCTGCTTCTTCACCTAACCCTGGTCTCAACTTCTTCCCTCTTGTTCCTCTGCCTTCCCCCAAATCTGTCCACCTCCAGGTTTGCAGCCGGTTTTCTGGAGCAGGGAGGACGTGGCCCAGTGGCTGCGATGGGCCGAGAAGGAGTTCGCCCTGCGGCCGATCACCAGTGGCTCTTTCCAGATGAATGGCAAAGCCCTGCTGCTGCTCACCAAGGAGGACTTCCGCTACAGATCCCCCCACTCTGGTACTCCCTCTTCTTTCTATCCTCCTTGTTAGAGGTATAGTCCAGGTTGGGAAAACTGGAGACATCAGAGAAATGAGTCACTTTCATTGATTGCATTAAATGTTTTTTTCAGTCCAACTGGAGCAGGACCCAGACTGGAAAACAAGATTTACCAAGTAGGAAGGAAGAACCGTTTTAGATCATGGAAACACTCTGACTGGGTGCAGAGAAATCATGGAAAAAGTGGTGCAACCATACATAGAAGCTTCTTTTCTAAGGGAAAAAAGTGACACCTGCCTTCACAGACTGACAGTGACTGATAGTTTCTCAAATGAATAAATTACATTTTGTTGTGAGACAAAATGAAATTAGGGCAAAAACCATGACTCTTGAACAGCTGTAGCCCCGCCTGGTGATTAAGACCAATATTAATGTTTAGGTGTGTTAATGCTGCTGTAAAATTAATGTGTTTACAGCCAAACTGTGCCCTTTAAAAATCAATAAAATCAGCTGGAGCCGAGGAGGCAAGGTGGCAGTGTCAGGCAACAGTGGAGGGAGACAGCTGTTATAGTAAGGCAGCTGGGGGAGGAAGTAGGAGATCGTTGATCAGGAAGTACAAACCGACCTGAGCTGTCGCCTTGGCAACACCAGCGGCCAGCCCCTTGAAAATAAAAGACAAAAAGTCAACTGTTGGATTTCTATTTTTAAAAATGAAACAGGATTTCACGTCAGATTGAGTATGACTGGTGTGCTGGAAATTTTACACAACACATGGGTGAAGTCAGTGCTGTGTGTGGTGTGGCTCAGGGTGATAGTCATGAGAGTGGGATGTAAGGAGTGGTCAGCATTGTGAAATGTAAAGACGCAGGAAAAAATTGTCCATAGACCAGAAGCTGTGGTTCAGGTCATTGTAGGTTCAGAAATGTGCAGGAATCGTTTGGAGGTGGATAATTGACTTAAAGTAAATAAATGAACAAATGCTGAAAGATAATGATGATAATAATAATAATAATAACAATAATGTTAATAATACATTTAAATCAATAAATAAAAGAATACATTAATACATTAAAGCTGGAATTGATAGAAAAATATGAATAAGTAAAGATGTTGGCAATCAATCAGGAAATAAATTGATTTATTTTTACATTTCTGCAAATCTACATTTTTTACTTCATTTGTTTATTTCTACATTTCGCTGTCTGTAAATGATGTAGACTTGTACTTTTTTTTAAACTTTTGCCTTGTCATTGGTGTGTCAAGCGATGCTGACTACTACACGTGCTTCTGATGTTAGCGTGTTGCAGGATCTTTAGCTTTTACCTCGTCATGCTTTACAGTGAGGTTAGGACCATCTACCTCATTAAGAGTGAGACACATTAGTACAGGAATACATGTATTCCAAGGTTTATTTTGTGATTAATTAGCCACATTTATTTTTATATTCATTTAATTTTTTAATTTTTTTATGTATTCATTTCAGTTTTAATTTATTTAATTATTCCTTTACTTATGGTTTTGTCTTATTTATCTCAGCATTTTTTAAATTTTTTATTATTTAATGAATAAGTCAGTTTTAGTCCTCCGTAGGTTTAGACAGAATGTCTGTAAAAGTTAGTAAAAGTTTCTCTGCACAGCTGGAGCAGAGTCGGGACATTTCCTACTGTATATGTTAGCCATTGTCTGCTCTTTCGCAGTATATTACATGTTATGACACATGATCTGTAGTTAGAGAGAGCGAGATAGCCCAGCTGACAGCTGTTGTCAAGCTAGCATCAGGATGTTTCCATTTCAAATCTATGCAAAATGTCCATATCCTGTCAAGAAACTGAGGCCTGGGAGAAAAGTCTGGAAAGTGTGACTCATCATTACAGGTTTTATTAGTTGTTGTTATGTGATGACGGAGTAATTTTGTTGTGAAATGGTTTCATGTATATGCTATCTTTAGAAGTTTGATGACTTTTTTTCCCCCTAAAACTGGAAGCATCACGAGGTGTCAAGAGATACATTTCAGTATCAGTAGATGGTTTGGCCGTTGTCGTTGTTAACGTCAGTGAAACGTCATTTTAGGGAACGGAGCAAAAAAAATTTTTGGCTTGTGATGTGACTGTTTCCTCCTTTGGGCAATTATAAGAATGCAGTTCCCATCAGTCCCTGCCGTGTGCCATATTTTTCTTTGTAATAATAGACTGTTTCTTTTGGGGTTTTTTTTTTCCTGGAATATCTGTGTTAACCTCACTTCCAGCAGTTCTAAAAGCTACATTACTACATGTTTAGACTTGAATATGTTTCATGGGAAAATGTAGGTGTTTTACATGTGAGTTATGACCGCAAGCTAACGTGATCATTTTCAATTTCCTGGTAACTGTAATTCATAATGATGAACATCATATTTCTTAAGATAAAATGTGAAGCTCTTTAGTTTAAACAGACATTTGAAATCGAAAATCAAAGCAAACCTTCATGCACCAGGAAGCAGGAATTTTCCCCACACTGCAACTCAGTGCCACAGGACCAGAAAGTGAGAACTGAAAGGGGTGTGTGTGTGCGTTTGTGCGCGCATGTTCGCCATCACTTCCTTTATGAGAATCATTTCCTTGTTATGGGAAGGGTTTAAGAAAGGATGAGATACTGTGTGATGGCAGTCACATTACTGTAGCTGTGTTTTTTTTGGTAGCAGTGTAAATGTTTAGTCGTGCCGGCAGCTGAGCCGTCAGTGTCGATGTTGAGGCAAAACAAACAGCTGTTAAGCATTCAGTGAACTTCCTGCTCAGCTTTTGTGCCCGGTGTCACCACTACTGTATAACCACTTAAAGGAGAATACCAGGGTCATATAGAGCCATGGCCCATTTACTTGTGTCAACAGATGGTTCATGTTTTCAGCTGAACCGATGACGTGCATAAGTATTTAGATTTTTTTTTCTCATATTTTTATTCTGAAAATCTAAGCTTTTCTCCTGCGGGAAATTTCCACAATATGACGTTAAAACATAAATTCTTTGAATTTAATGTGATTATCTTGCTCTGTGGAAGTGAAATGCTTCTTCTGTGAGAGGAAATATACACTTCTGGCAACTCACTGGGTTGAATATCTAGGAAATATTTTCATAGTAGTTTAATAGATGTCTGTGCCACCCGTTCCTGAAACCATCTGATGTGGTTTCTGCCTCCTCTGTGACTCTTCCATTATTGCTCAAGCTCCCTGTTGCCTGGAAAGCAAAGAGAAGAAGGGGGAACCTGATTCTGTGGATGACGCCAACACAAATTTCCCATTTTATGCAGACGTGAAAGGCTACCTCGAGACGTGTGTTAACCTTTGACCTTTGCATCTCTGCAGGGGACGTCCTGTATGAGCTGCTGCAGCAAATCCTGAAGCAGAGGAAGCCCCATGTGTTTTACCCATCTGCCTATTTCCCTGGGAACTCCTTCCACTCGCTGCCTGAGAGCGCCGTGCAGCACCTGAAGCTCGAAGGTCAGTCCAATGAACGGCTTTTTCTTCTTTAACACGTACAGTTCACGTATTTTTAGCTCTGGAATTAGACACAATATCATTATAGTGGGAAGCACTGGAAGTTGGCCTTTACCGTTTCAGACCTTATAGACGTACTGGATATCAGAAGCCACATTGCTGCATAAGTAGGTCCAAAATCACCTTCACCAGAATCTGTGTTTTTTTATTGATTGGCTTTGCTCAAAATAATTCAAATTCCACACAAGAATAAAACTTAATGACAGACTCCATACCCGGCATCTGTAAGACTGTATAGTAAAAGTATTTCTAAATTAAGCTACTTAATGAACTAGCAGTTGAGTAATCTAGTTGTCAACAGTACGGGTGTGAACCTCACCTCAAACACCACTGAGGACGAGTCATTTTTGACCCCATCAAAAAAAAAAAAAAACTTAATTATCAACTCAGCTAAGTGGCCAAGTTCTAAATACAATACATCCAGAACAGCTACAGTAATGCTGTCTAGCTATCCAACGTTATCTAGCTAAACACAAGCTAATACCAGGTCCTTGTTGTTGTGTGGGTGATGTCACTTTTTCTTTTTTTCTTTTTGAGGTAGAAAATGAAGATTAAATGTACAAATGTAAAAAAAATTTGTTGTGTAAAGTAATGAGTTGTTGCTCATGGCAGTTGAGGTGTGGTTGACAGTAAATATACTGCCCACCTGAAATAACAGAAGTAACTGATACGAATGAACGTTTGCTACGAATGTTCACAGGAACTATATATGGTTCATTTTTGATCCACTAATGGAAAGCTGGAGGAATAATACAAAAAAACATATGTTCTTAAAAGGAGCAAAATAAAAGACTGAAACTGAGGATATCAAAATTACATTTTTAGGAATATGAAATGCTAAAATATTTTTAATGACAAAAATATTGAAACATTGAGGGAATTTTACACCCAGATGTTCATCCAAGCGATAATGTTGATTTTTAAAGTAGAGAATTTAAGATGCTCTTTTTATATGCGTGGTGATAATAGTAATAATAGAGCAAGGAAAGCACAGACCTCTTCACTTTGTTGTATTAAAGGAGAAAAAGTGAAAACTCTGACTGTTTTTTTGGCTCTGATCTGAGGAAACATGACACAGCAACACAGGAATGAATTCACATGTTGACAGTAAAACCTGTTCAACAAGGAAACGCTGCTTTACATAAACAAGCTCCACGAACTGCCACTGTGGAGAAATGACTGGTGCTCTGGTATTTTTTCTTTTACCTCTGTCCTTCCTTGTTTTGAGGCCTGCAATATATTTTTTTTTTCTCCATTCTTTTTGAGTGAAGGAATCAGAGCAAAATTCAAACTACTTCAACACAAACTAGAGAATCTGTGGGATATTAGTGACACCTAGTGGTTACTTCTGTGTGAAGCCAGGAGCCTTCAGTTAGAAGCACCTATAAAAAAAACTTAGTGGCAGAGGGGACAAAAATGAAAAGCTACAATATACCACTTCATTTTATGCTCTGTAACAGTTGGAAGTAGAGACTGGGCTTCACACAACAACAGCAGGTGGACAAAACAAGGAAGTTCTGAGATTAGTGCTACCTTCTTACAATTTAGAATTTGAGTTGCCACGTTCAGATTGAGGTGTTTACCCAGTTCTATTTTTAAGTCTTGTTTCCTTCTATGTTCATATTGTGATTCACACGTCTCACCTAGATAACCAATATGTATTTACTGTTGGCACACCTGTATGGCAAACACAGGGAATGGTATACACCCAACAGCTTCCGTGACATCACTAGAAAACCTGTTTCAGGTAACCCAGAGAATTTTGGCTGAAATCCACAGGTACACAGAGTTTGTACTCTAGATTAATGAATCAAGGTAATAAATATTTTAATACACAGCAGCATCTAGCAGTTATTTTCATTATCTATTATTTCTACCTATTATTAAGCTAATCAATTGAGTCTACATGCAATCATAAAGGGTGAAAGTGTCTGACAGTCCACAGATAAGACAAAACAAGTCTTTTGTCTCTATTTTACAATAAACTCAAGTAACTTAGTCGCAGATATTAATGACGTTTCCTTTGTATCCTCAGAAACGGTACGACGGGGACCACGTGGTGCGGAGCCAATCCCCCAGCATCCACCAACCATTGAGCTGCGGCACCGCTCCCGCTCCCCTCACCATCCAACCCCGCGACGATCCCCCCTGGAGCCGAACCACCCTCGCCCCGCTAACGATGACTCCCTGCAAACCTTCTCCCAGCTGCCCGACAGCAACCACCACCTGCCCGAGGAAATGTACCCTCTGTCGGTGTCCCCGGCCGCACCAAACGGGCGCTGCACGACGCCCCGAGACCCCCCTTGCCCAGGCAGCCCTGGGGGCCAGGAGGCGGGCCCTCCTCGCGTCATCCAGCTCATGCCCAGCACCATCATGAACCCTCTGCTCCTCAGCCCGAGCAGGAGCGGTGGCGGGGGTGCCGGCATGGACTTCAGGCACAGCCGCGGCGGACCCCTGTCTCAGGCCACGCTTGAGAACGGGCGCGAAGGCAAAGTCCACGGCCACCACCATGTGCTGCCACTGGCACAGCAGCAGCAGCAACAGCAGCACCTTCTGCAGCAGGAGGAGGCGCTCTACAGGAACCACGTCATCATGCCAGTGTCTCCTCCAGAGGAGCAGCAGATGCCCATTGGAAGGATAGCAGGTAAGACTTAGTCCTGACGAGCCCTGAAGGTTAAAGCTGCATGAGGTGACTTCTTCATTTGAAAACACCATCACTGTTGTGTCCCTGCAGACTGCAGGCTGCTGTGGGACTACGTCTACCAGCTCCTGTCAGACAGCAGGTACGAGAACTACATCCGCTGGGAGGATCCAGAGAACAAAGTCTTCCGCATCATGGACCCCAACGGCCTGGCTAGGCTCTGGGGCAATCACAAGGTAAACACGCACTCCAGGTGTTCAGTCACCTGTCTGCAGGGACATCCCAGATCCACGAAAGAGCAAAGATTTTATTCCATTAATGGAGATTTTTTACACCAGCAATGGCTCAAAATTAGAACTCAGAGAATTATCACCTGACCTTCAGCCCGACTGAGATTTTAGGCCACTTTTACTCATTGTTCTGCTTTTATGGTCAACAAACTAACACTCCCAACATCCTGGATCCCAGCTGCAGCTGTTTTCAGCTAAAAAAACAAACAAACAAACAAACAAAACACCACTCTTTGCATGTCAGCAGGCAGACCAAGTTAGTGATTAGCTGGTAAATGTAGTGGAACATTTAGCCTCTAAAGAAAAGTGGCTGCAGTATTGGAATAATGAACTGTTGCCTAACAAGGTGATCACATGTCAGCGTTGTGTTTTTAGCTCGTCTCTGCTACTCCCAAGCTACTGCAGCTTTAACGTTCCCAGGGATAGGACTTTAAAGCTGCACCAATCAATATTAACAACTGATCAAATCACAACATGAAAGCTGCTCCTCACAGTGATGAACTATCACCCAACTTTACCGCTCCCCTCACTTGTACACAGCTTTTTAGCCGCTCTTTGTTTTGCTTGGGTGTGTAAAGAGACAATTATCTGTTAAAAGTTTGCAATAATGACTTTGCTCCCATATGACCAAAACATCAATTAGTGCAGCTTTAAATGGCAAAGAGAATCTAAAAATTCATCATCATCGTTGATATTGTTATTATTATTATTATTATTAATGACACTGTTGCCCTCTGACCTCTTACAGAACAGGACAAATATGACGTACGAGAAGATGTCGCGAGCACTGAGACACTACTACAAACTGAACATTATCAGGAAAGAGCCAGGACAAAGACTTCTGTTCAGGTATTACAACTTAAATAAGCTTAAAGACGCCATCTTCAAAAATTCATCCGTCATTCATGACATATTTAACCTTCGTAAAACTGATTCCTCGTCTGTTTCACGTTCTCCAGGTTCATGAAAACCCCTGACGAGATAATGAACGGACAGACGGACCGGCTGGAGCACCTGGAGTCCGACACAGACGAACAAATCTACATCAAAGAGGAATGCTGAGGAAATCTGAGAAAAAAAGAAAAAAAAAGGTCCATGAACTACTTAGTACTACTACAGCCGCTGATGCCTTTTCAGACGCAGCTTGAACAATCGGTGTTGAATCTGGAGCTGGACGTTCGCTCATATCAGTCCTACACACAGAGACATGACTCTCTCCTCTGATTGCCTTAGGATGATCATTTTCAAGTCAAAATGAAACAAAAAAAAAACAAAACTAAAAAACAAAACAAAACAAAAAAAAAAAAACAGCATCAGTTGTGTTGATTTTCCTGATGGACAGAAGTTAAAAGGACGTGCTCCCTTTTATTTCTGTATGAACTGCAAAAGCCAATCACCTTGTGCTTATGTCACTTTTATGATTTTTTTTTGTCTCCACACATGCATTATACTAAGGAATTTTGTAAAAAGAAATTTGTGTGCAGTGTGTGTGTGCAGTGAGTGTGTGTGTGTGTGCAGTGAGTGTGTGTGTGTGTGTGTACGTACGTGTGTGTGTATGTGTATGTGTGTGACTGGACTGTTTTCACCATGGAATAAACATTTTTGATCAAACTCAGTGAGGACGTACTTCACCTGTGTGCAGTAGTTCCCGCCTCTCTGCATAGACATCACTGACGTTATGCTGAAATACATAAAAACAGCCACGTGATGGCACTAGTGCACAACTTTTATGAGCAGGTCTGTCTGGACGTTTCCCCACAGTTCAACAGTTCACAGGCTGCACACCTTCCAGACCACGGGGTCGTCCACAGGAGAAAATGTGATGACAGGTCACAGGTGGTCAGAGCAGGTAGAAGATGGAGGTGTCACGTGTTTGAGAAGTTCTAGCATTTGTTAGTATTATTGATATTATTGCGGGAGCTACTAATTAATCCACTTCTTCTCATCATGTGTGTCCTACTTCACCAAATGCGCCCAAGCTGCCAAAATACGTTTCACTACTTTAGTGTTAAACTCCCAGTTTATCATTTTTATCTTTCGTTAAAATGAGAATAATTCCGTTTTCAGTTTTGTGAATTATTATTTAAGAAATATCCAAATGAGCCTTGTAGTATAACGAAGATATAACATTAGTTTGAAGACCTGCTCGTTCTTGTTTTTCCATCCAAGTAGATACTGGTCCATTATCACACTGAGGTTCATTTGAATGTGAGAAAAGTGGAAAATCACTATTTCCTCTCGGACCAGTCGCTGTGACGTTCATATGTAACATATTAAAAAGGGAACAGATCCGTTAGAGTAATCGGATTACTGTAACGCAGTCGGAGAGGTGGCGGCGGTGCGCCGTGCGCTCCGGAGTCTCCATAAAAGTTAGTGCGCACAGAGCTGAGCCGTCAGACTGGGAAGAGACGCGGCGGAGCGAAGACTGGAGGCTGAAGTGATCGATGAGGACCGAGCCCCACTCTTGACAATTTCACACATCCACGGTGAGAGCGTGGCCTGGTGCTCCGGGTGACTCACCCACCGCAGGCCACTGACAGGACGCAGTTAGTTACCGCTTATTAACCGCCTGAGTCCGGCAGCTTCTGTTGGGTTCTGGACTATCGGAGCAGCTCTGGATGCAGCCCGGGGATCTCGGCTGTGCGGCGGATGAGGTGCCCGCGCTGCCGCGTTAGAGGAAGAAGAAGAAGAAGAAGAATCGTGCGTGATTGTGAAAAAGCTGTTTGATTTCACCCGGGGGGGTGAAAAAAAGAAAAAAGAAAAACACCGTTTGTTTTTTCGCCTTGTCCAGGACGCAAATGTGTCCACATCACAGACTCACCACTGGATTGTAGCAGCGGCCCCACCGATGGTTTAAAAAGGGCTTCAAGGTGCGGGAAGGGAGTGGGACAATTACAGGTAAGACCCCGACGGTCATTTTCTGCCCCCTGCGTGGGGCTGCTGAGAGTTTCTCCCGCAGGTGAGAGCGCGCAGTCATGAGCAGAAAAACCACTCATCCGGTGCGAGGCGTTTATTTGTCGACCCTCAGCACCGCATCGATATCCAATCAACACTTCAGCAATTACACAAAAAACAGTGTAGGCCTTTTTTTTTCTTTTTTTTTTAAGTGTCACTCCCCGTTCTCCTCTAGAGAGAAATATTCATCAGTGCCTGACATTGACCTGTAACCTGGTGTTAGATTGTAATTGTTTTAATATTATTTTAATTTTAATTTAATATGTTTTATTGAAGTGTCTGTGAAATTGCACAATCCAACACATAGGCTCTTTAAAACTGATCTGCTGTGTAAAAACAAAATGAGTTAAAATCAGTTGTTCCAGTTGTGTCTGTTTTATGGGGTCAGTGGCAGTTAATAAAGTCTTTACTAGTATTTTGCATTAGTCTGTTTACTGTAAGATCTGTCTTCATTACAAATTCCACAATGACCACAGCTAATATTGCTTTGTGTGTAGAAATAGATATTATGTTATTGGCAGGTGTGGCAGGATGACAACCTGTGAGTAAACTACCAAACTGCTGCAGGGAGTCGACTCATTTTAGTAGGGATTCATTGATTTGACCTCCTGCACTGAGACTAATGTGGGCTCACCTGGGGCCAATAACATGCGGTGATGTAATCCAGCGACATGGGGGGGGGCAGCAGCTTCAGACGGGCTGATCCGGACTCTTCCTCCTCCACCTGCCAGGAACACATAAAGCTTTAATTTACCAAGTGAAATGGGAACGAAAGGAATTGGACATACTGACAGTTTACATGTCAGGCGCACACACTGCAGGGTCCAGCGGGTATGGGACAACATAAACTGACAATAAACTACACATCAGAAATGTATACAGTGCAGCAGCGCTGATGTCCACGCTGTAGTTTATTTCCTACAGTTTCAAAGGTGGAGCTGCCTCAATGGTAAAAACAACCTGTTTAATTCCAATGATCAACACATTTTCTCAGTAAATACAAACTTGAATGGTTGAAGAGAAGAAACTGTAATTGAAAACTGTAAATGCCAGTGGTTTTCACTTGTTCAGTGTTGGAGGGTGGAAAACCCTGTGCAAGGAGCTGCATGGGGACACTGAAGCGTAACGATGGCTCCAGCTTTAAACAGTTGGAAAAAGTGTGGCCTCGAAAAAGCGGCGCAGCATTAATCAATTGTAAAAGTCCGAACCCTGTTGGTCCTGCTCTTGGTCCGATATCACAAACTAATCCAGTTTCTTCAGTATGTGTTGACTCCTAACATTGTCAGTGCTGATATACAGAAATGTGCTCGTTCACTTATCAAGTACTTCATGTATGTTTGAGTATATCCATTTTATGCTACTTATGACCTTTACTAGGAAAGAGACAGGGCCTATGATGAGCTTTTAAAATACAGCACATTGGCTTGCTTTTGGCCGATGACCCCAGATGTCTACGAGTTGTCGGCTCCACTGAAGATATTTGTCTCTCGACTTCTTAAATGATGTCATTTAAATAAAAAGGTGAAATTGTTCGATAGTTCGCCAAAAAGCAAAGATTCTGTCCAAAGGCAAAAAAAAGAAAGAAAAATATATGCATCAGAAGAACTTTGTTTTTTCTTCTTTCCTACCTCATTGATCATTTCACAACACCTCGAAGTTATCTTGTGACCCTTTGGAGGGGCCCAACCCTTAGGCTGGTAACCGCTGGATAACAAACAACAACAAACTGCATTTAAAATAGTTTAAACCAATTTTTAATACTTTAACTACATAGTTATTTTTACATAATTTTGAATCCGAACTAGTAATGTTGTATTTTTACATCAATGTTTTTCTACATTTAAGTGAAATCCATCTTTCACCACTCACTACCTCACTGCAGAGCACAGGGATGCAGCAAATCACAAATTGACGTCATCTGGCAACTTCTAGCAACTTTCTAGCAGCCAGTAGCTACTTCCCTCAGAAAAGAACTGGCAGCCCTGGCAGTCCCCAATTAGCTGGAAGCATTAGCTACAGCAGCTCCACCACCAATGATCCAGTTTTAACGCTCTGGGCAGCCTGGTTCAGGTCAGACCGGTCCCCCTCCAGCCGGGCGACCTGGTGCCGACAGTCTGGCCAGCGCCAGTGGATCAGCCAATGTCACCTTTTTTTTTTTTTTTTGGCGGGTCATGTCCTCACGCTGCCTTGCCATTGATCCAAAGCGATGACCCCCGAGGCTTCATGGTCTGCTGCTCCTCGCCAACCACGCCGACTTAGTCCTCTGAACAGCTGTGACACGCACCACACCAGCAGTGAATTAGTCCGTCTCTGAGGGTGCCCAAGTCTTTTGTTGTAAAAATTCCTTGTCGTTGTTATTATTTTATTCATTTATTTATTTTTCCATAAAAATAGCACATTTAGAACCTACTTAAACAAATAAGTAGAGAGTCAAGGATAGTTTTAGCACATAAAAGCAAAATAACAAGGGGCAAATGACAGGGCTCCTGAAAGGAAACCTCAGAGGACCAACAGTTCCAGTAAGAGCATCATGTCTCTATAAGCTCAAAGTCCTTCAGGTGTTCACTGTAGGTATACTGTACCTAACTGTGTCAACACATAACCTCCCATCAAACCACAACTTGTGATACATTTCTGTCAAGAGGCCTTTTCGCAGGACATATTTTCACTAATGACATCGGGATTGGCTGAGGTGTATGATGGCTGAACTACATGTCGCTGCTTCAGTGTCAGGATCCTGGTGTTGTTCCTGCTGCCTCACAGTCACACTGTCATGGCTCACTGGGACACCTAAATAGAGCAGAGCCACTGTTAATGTTAAGTAAAAAGCTCTGCTGAGAATCATCTGTTAGTGAACTCAAAAGGTGCTCTGCAGATTTTGTTACCTTTGGACAGTAGGCTAGGTTTGCTGTTACACCTGTTTCCAGTCTTGATGCTAAGCTAAGCTAATGTTTTTTAGGCCCTGCTTGATTTTTTAAAAGGCATTGGGTGATATATTGAATACATTTGATTAATTTAAAAATGTGTATGTCTAAATCATGAAAACAGTAACTTAGATGATAGCTGGTAATGTTAGCTGGTCACATTATATTGAATTTATATAATTAATTTTTTAAAAAATGTTTTCGCCCAATACGTAAAATGTCTGAATCATGGAAACAGAGTTATTACAAGGACACAAAAAGTCAAAAAGTAACTGAGATGATAGCTGGTCTCGTTAGCTTGGTCACGTTAGCTGTCACATTGTGTAGCTGCTGCAGTTTATAGGACTGTCTCACAGGTGGCTAGCTGGCTCTGTTATGGTGGCCCCTGAGAGCTCAACACACTGCAACTTAAGAAAAACACATGCAAATAGACAAACTTGTTATTCAATGCTTTATGACCTTTGCAGTTAAAAGCAATGAACGAGTGCGTCCCAGCTGGGCGCATCACTTTTTTGTGTCCCCTGGAAACGCTTCTGTGTTTCTGTATTTGGTTTTGTTGAGTATTTGCAGCGTGTTTTTCCGTTTGCTGTGTTTTGTGTTTTTGCTTGTTTTCTTAAGTCGTAGTGTGTTGAGCTCTCAGGGACACCGATACAGACTTTTACACTGACCTGTTCTTGGTTTGTTGGTGTGAGGTGTGAACTCTGGTGAAGTCGCAAAGTAAAGCAGATTGGAGGTTAGCTAATGTAACGTTAGCTAGCAACCATCTGCAGATATGAGGCTAACGTCAGGGGACACAAATAGAGCAGATGAATTAGTATGCGGACTTGTCCGCTCTGTCTGCACTGAGTTGAATTATTAACGTGAACGCCTGTACTTTACTTAGTTGAAGTATCTGGTACTGACAGTCATAACTGTACCGTATGACCTACATTTTCCGAATAAGTGTAACGATGCAGCGTTTTTATTACTCTTAGTAATGAGCCCTAGAAAATATGACATTTCAGTCGCATTTTTTTAGTCAAATTGAAAATTGTCCCAAAGCTTGAAAAAAATATTTATTTGGCTAGCTCTGTATCTTACACACAAATATGATAGTGGTGTCGACCTACTCATCTACCTCTCAGCAAGAAAGCGAGTACGTGTGTTTCTAAAAACACTGAACTGTTTTGTTAAAAAGGGACAATACCACTGGAGTCCCATCCACATGTATTGAATTTATTATCTTAATACAGGCAGAGCAGTCTGTCTTCAACAGTATCTCTTGTTTTAAGAAAATCTTTTTAACTGGTGCAACCACAGTGGAGACAAAGAAACAATGACAGGTTTTTCTCATTGTTCTCATTAAAAAAAAGTCTTGAAGACCTGGACATTTTTTGTGAATATAAAAGAGGCTTTTGAACGTGAGATGAAACCTGTGAGCCTCAGTGAGCTGCCCGTGGATTTATTCCTCTGCGTCCAAATGAAAGACTTGAGAGGAGGTCAGGTTCTCGGCTGTGCCGCCTTGATGGGCGAGTTTGTGCTTTTTTCTTCTCGAACTATTGGAATTTGTGCAAAATATCGGTTTTAGGTGCCAATCATAGAAGTTGATTGGCACCGGCTGTGCTGGTGTTTGATGTGAGGAGGAAGCGGGAGCTGTTTTCACTCTTTCACATTCTATTTGATCTGCACTCGCTCTCCTCTCTGTTTCATTTGAAGTAAAACAAATTCACCAGCCACTGAATAAACAAGAGCTCTGCACAGATGATAAAATAATAGCAAAAGATTCCTTTCCATTTCTCACTGTGACCTCTGTCTTCTTCTCCTGCTTCTTCTCCTGATTGGATTTTTTTTTTCTTATTTTTTACCTGCTGACAGTTTTTGGCAGGAATTTATTTTGACTGGTTCTTTCACTAGTTTTCATATTGGCTGTGGGCTTTTCTGTGGCCAAAGGCCAGATACATGTGACTGAAACTATTACCTCTAACTTTAGCTTATATTTTCTAACCTCACTGCTATAACAATGTATATCCACGCTGTGAC